AGTAACACTAATTCTTGGTACAGTAGGTGACCTAGTTTCCTTTTCAACAAGGTATGGTTTAAAAATTATTGATTGCACTTTATTACTTTTCTCTAACTCTGAAACGTCTTGTTTAGATAATTCTGACAATGCTGGTAGACGAGCTCGGCACTTAGGGCAAATTTGCTTTCGATTTTCAATATTTTGTTCTCCGCAGCTAGTGCACTGTTTATCACAGTGGCTACTCGAACCTGCATTAGCTACAAGAGAATCAATTTCATTAGTTGCAGATAGTTTTTCTTCACACAATAATTCAAAAATTTCATTAAGATAAACATGTAATTCTTGATCTACTGCTTCTTGCATTTCTAATGTAATTTCAAAAAGATTCTTGTATTGTGGCCTATCAAGAAAATTAAACGGTGTATTAGTAGTATACTGAATATAATTTTGCGGCTCCATATTAAAAGCAACGAAACTAGTAACAATATGAAATATTATTGTGTTTAGTTCTCGATCGAGATAATTTCGCTGCCCTTTCTGCTCATTATAAATAAAAGTCCGTTAGGTAAAGGTTCTTCTCTTTCTGATAGCCTGTCTAACCAATTTTGAAAACGAGAATAGCTTCCTATACAATATTATTTAATTTAATATTCATTAAGTAATTATTAATAGTTAAAAGCAAATTAAATAAAATTAAATACAGAAATATTAACCTGAACACGTTATATGGTTATCAATGTTAATAATGGTTTTCGATCGCGCAATGGAATATTTGATAGCCAATGCTATAAGATTTATTTCTGAGACATATTTCCCATGTCTCGACCCGTAAATTAAATCAACAGCCATTGCTCTTTTAAAAGTCTTTTCGGCACTTAAGGAATCTGTATTAAGATTATTGTGGGTCAGTATCTCAATAAATTTAACAACAACTCGATTACGTTTACTCAGCCATGTTTGCGGATCATAGTTTAATAGATTTTCTAAAGAAAATCTATTATTATCTCTAATTAGAGATTCAATATCTTCATACAAACTTTCTTGTTCACGTTGAGCGATATTAATAACTTCTTCTATACGTTTATGCTAGTCATTATGCCGAGAATCTCAACATTGAATGAGTTCATCATTCTCTTCACACTTCTTCTGATATAATTCCTTTAAGTGAAGTATCTCCTTACAATATTTACTTATTGTTTCTCTCAATTCCTTTATTTCCCCGTTTTGAATTTCTACCTGCAAAAGTAACTCTGTAATCGCATTAGTGAAGTATACTACATCTTCGCTATTTTCTTGACTCTTATCGAATAAGCTTTTGGCTTTTTCAAGATCTATTGATAGGTGCGACCCACCAAAGTTAGTTGTCTCTTCGTGAGCTGACCTAGAATCATTATCAGGGTTAGTATTAGTTTGAGATTTTTTGTGAGTAGAAGACGAAGACGAAGATGACGAGAGTGATGAACTATTTAATAGCCGCTGGTAAAAATGATCCTTAGAGATAAGTTGATTATAATGTATTTGGCAGATCGAGTAAGTACTCAACGAAGAATGAAGATCTACGAGTTCAGGTATAAAAGGGTGATATAATGGGAGTCGCCTTTCTGCTGCTGGACAGTCTGCATGTCTCCAGGTTTGTAACGGATTTGTATCACAGGCTCTTAAGTTAATTCCTTCATAATTTTTAACTAAACCTTGGAAAATGCACGGAAGTTCTTGTGCGTTTGGTCGTTCTGATTGCGACATTTTTATACTCTAGTATAAACTTAAAAAAAAAAAAAAAAAACGTTAGTTTTATATAAAATTTACTCAAAAGTCTTGGATTTTTAAGTTTCATTTACTTTTTTAATAAGTGTTGATCCCAAAACGTTATTTATTGATCCTGAAAGTAAAGTTTTTTATTTACGGGTTCATATAATTACTGGCGGTATATAAGTAGTACAAGAATTTTTAATGTACAATTAGAAAATGAAAAAAAATGCGAAAAGTATTAATTGATAGCCAATCAAATTTTTGCAGATTATTCTAGATTCGATTTCCATATTTGGCAATTTCCCTGACTGCATTTGCTAAAGCTCCTTAGCAGCCAATTCATTATCTGGATCAACGAATAAGCTTTCTTTCACTTTTTTCACGTCTTCAACAAGAGGGGACGAGGCAATTGGTGTTCCGTCTTCATTACGAGGTAATACAATTTTCGTGTGAAACCAACAATTCTTGATTGTTGCAGCAGATACTTCACCCCAGGCAATCTTTACCCATTTTATAGCTGTTAATTGATCAACTTTATATATATCACTTTTCTCAGCTTCGTCACGATCAATTGCATGTTGAAGTTGCATATGACGATAACGGAGCTTAAATGATGCAATAATATCAGCATCCATGGGCTGTATCTTTGACATTACATATGAAGGTAATTTGAGTACCTCTATATTAGTTAGAGTTAGAGTAGTAGTGGCATGTGAAGAAGGCCATCTAGGATAAGTAAAACATGACGATTCGATTGATTCATTTCTTTGTTAAATTTCTCTATCCATTTTTAAAAACAACGATTAACAAAATTATCATCTAATTTAATTTAATAATCTTAATTTATTTAATACTATCCCTTGTACCGTCTTATAGGCAAATTTGCCCGCAACTTTTTGCCAAAATGCACTTTTTTGGGCAGACCATATGTAAATTACAATTTAAGGGTATATTGTATTATAAGCAATAGTGCATAAACCTTATACTTTTTAAATTCTTTGTTTATTTTTTGAGGATCTTCAAAAACAAACTTAATTTGCATTGGACTTCAATAAATTAAATTTTTTGGGTCAAAAACGTGATATTCAACTAAGATAATTCTCTTTTATTCTTTTTAACAGTTTAATTGTCTATTTTTTTTTTTTTAGTAGACTAATAATAGTGAATACCTGCAATATTACATTGCTATAAAACCGTTGCTATATTCTCCGCCATATAGTAATATATCAGATAGAAGTAAAATTTATATTACTATATCTAAACGTTTTTATTGTGTTTTACAGTATTAACAAGCAACTATTTAATAATTTGTTTAAATCAACTAGTTGCCAACTTGGCTAACTAGTTGATTTTGATTCGTACTCTTACCTGAAAAAACATAGCGGTCATCCAGACTTTAAAATTGTTTCAATAATAGAACCCAAGCTGCTCACCAGTTTTTTTTTTAAAACACCTAGGTTTCTTAGCATGATCAATAATGAAAGGTTGAAGTTTGTGTGTGCTATCGGTATTAGAAGTAAGTGCAATTGTAAGCCATATACAATCTTTTCTTGCTCCTTCAATTTGGCAAGATACAATAGTACGATCAGGAGCCATAGTATAGAACAGACCTGTCTCATTCATATTATAAATATCACCCAAGAGATATTTATTGGTTGTACGAATAATATTAGGAAGATTTAGTTTAATAGCATCAAGGTTAGCAGAACCGCTCTCACCATGCAGCCTAAAGTGATGAAAATTATGTCTTTTCTGAAAGGCTTGCAACCATCCATTTGAGAACTCTGGCTGGTTACTTTCTGGGATTTTTATTAAATCAGCTAATTTTTTGCCTTTAGCCTTAATCATATACATACACCTCAACTTTCGCATTGTAAAACCCAATTCGCCAAAGCAGTATCCAATTCAGGAAACGTAACAGTACGGCGTTTTTTAACTCCAAGGTCACTTTCAGACATTGTGTTAAATTCCTCCTTCCTTTTCAATATGTCCGAAATTGTACTTTGACCTGGGGCTTTTAATAGATTGAATTTATTTTTTGCCCATTCAGCTTGGGTAATATTTGAATTAGCTTGATGATGGTTATATATTAATTTTCTTTGATCATTGCACAAATTTCTAGCTAAAACAATTTTATCTTTTTTTTTTCCTATGATTATAATAGAACAAAATTGAAAAATACTATCATATAAAACCAAAAAAAAAGCAAGAAAATATACATGTATACTTGACTCTCATAAGTGCGTTTGTTTTTATTATTCTTTTACTAAAAGTTTAGTTTCTATAAGATAGATTTTTAGAACAATGCCCATACCCGTTATTTCAAGATTTATGATAATCTAATACATCTTTTGTTAAGTTTTTTTATTTTTTGAATATTTTGAAACATTTGATTTTTTATTAAAAAAAAAAATTCTAATGCCAAAATTTACATATTTAAACCTATCATGTTTTTTTTTGCTCTTTTTAGCTTAGCGATCCCATTTTTGAAATCATGGATCAAGCCAAGAATCAATATGCATGCCTTCCAGGAATATAATTATACACTTTAGGGTTGGCACCTTGTCATCGGGCTTTCAATGTTTGGTTTGTTTCCTGAACGCCGTCTAGAAAAAATCTATCATTAGGCTTTTAATTAATTTTGTAACAACTTGACATGAAATGTAATTGAAAGCCCGATGATAGATTTTTCTTAGACGGTGCTTAGGAAACAAACTGAATATTGAAATCCTAATGACAGGTTTTCCTCGGCAGCATTCATGTGTGAAAACAATTGGGTGTAGCTATATGCCAACCCTGCACACTTTTCTATTATTATGGTTAGTTTTAAAATGCAAAATATTTTCAACATCGATCTTGCCGTATAATATCAGGGAACGTAGTACTAGCCTGGCGCTTTTCTTTCACGATTATATTATTATTAATTCTGGTTTAAACAAGCTACTATAATATCTTGATGCCTTTTATAAAATAGATACTAGAAAGAATCAATATTCAGCTGAAACACCTATTTCAGGTCATAGATAATTATTTTGAGTTTTGTATCACATGAATAAATACATGCATCTTTTGTAAAATAAGGTTATGGCTGAACCACATGGTATATATACCACCGGATATTCTTGAATTGAAATAATTTTAATCATTCGGCATTCTGTTTGATTATGCATGAAGGTTCTTTTTAAATTGTTTTTTTTTTTTTTTGTGAATTTCTGATTTGGCCGTGTATAGTGAGATGAGCTGTTTACGATTCGTGTATTGCAATAAAATTAGCAAACAATTTAAATGTCAGACTTACTTTAATAAACCAGAAAGTACTGTAAACCAAAATTCAGAACAGCTGACAAATAAATTTTGCTCTAATCACTGAAAATTTTACTGGTAAGTTGTAGCCCACTTAAGAAAAAATTTACAGAATAGATTGTTAGAGTTTACTTCCGGTTAGAGAGATATATCTGCATAAATATTGACATCATCCTCATGCAAATAAATTTTTAATAATAACTAGTTTGTGAACAAAGTCACGAAGTATTCATTTGTCATAAGATTAATAAGAGCAAATAAAATAAGCGAAAGGATAAATAACATGATCCTAGGGAACAAGCTAATATCCCATATAGTGTATTTTGTAGATGAGTTGTTTGTGATTGAGTAATAAATTAAAGTTATCCCTAAATGCTAAACTCAAATTTCATTTTATATAAAGTTTATTGTGGGTTTCGTGTAAGATATGAAGTTATATTTGTCGCATCTCTAATGAATTAAATTCTGCAATATCATTGGCTAGCTCATGTAGATCTTTCACATGATATTATCAAATTCGATAATCTCCCAAATCCGATACAAAACCTGACTACCATGAGTACTGGTTTGGAAAGGGCCGACTGTATATAAAAACAAGATAGATATATATGTAAGTATACTTGGAGATTTTAATACAATAAGTAACACAAGATTAGATACCACAAAAATCAAGGGCTGGGGAAAACTTTACTTGAATGGTTTAAAAATAAAGAGATGATAGACTTCTATAGATATTTAAATCCACACAAGAAAGAATATACCTGGTATAAAGATAAAATAGCTTCGAGAATTAACTATATATGGATCAGAGAAGAGATAGGAGAATTTCTCAACAAAGCTACAATTAAAGATATTAATTTAGTAACAGGTAGTGATTACAAAATGGCATGTGCAAAACTAAAATTAAATAAAATACTTGGATATGAAAAACTTAGCAGAAGAAATCAAGAAAAACCAACCAGAAGAGTTTTTCTATATTATAAGATATTATCAAAAGACTGAGAGGCATACAGTGTGTATGTAGAGTGCCCTCTTTTTGTAAAAGATCAAGACAGAAATGTGAAAACCTTATATAATATGTCTACAGATATTAATATTGAATAGGACAACATTAGTAGCACAATAATGAGTGCAGCATTAGAACACATACCTTGGATTAATATTAAGAAAACTGAAGCTTAGAAAAAAGTCAATCCCAAAGTCAGAAATTTACAGAGAAATTAAATTCTTATATTACTTACAAAAGAGAAATAAGAAAAGCCCTTCTGCAAAGATTAACTCTGATGAGAGAAAGAGTCTAAATAGGAGGATTGATGAAATAAATCAACTGTACCAAACACAGATCGCACAAATGCCAGAGTGGTGAAGTCAAATTCAATTAGAGGAATCAATAAAGTTTTTAGAAAGAAGGCAGGTAATGAAGAGAAAAAAGAAAAGAAGGTGAAATTTAGAAAAAAATAAAATTAAGATTTGGTATGATGAAAAAAAATAAAAAGAAAATACTCCAAAGCCTGCTAAATAGACTATATAACAAAATTACAATTGACAGAGTTCTGGTAGAGGAGAATTCCAAAGTTTACAACCTAGAATTGATTAATAATGAAGAAGAAGTAAAATAGCAAGTAATCTCTCACTTTGAAGAACAATTTAGAAAAAGAAATCAAAACTTTAAAGAGATGAAAGTGGAATGGAAAGAAGAATACAAGCCAAAAAAAAAATTGATCCTACAATATATAAGGAAATAAAAACCTCCTTATACTAAAGAAATGGATACAAGCTTTGAGTAAAACTAAAAATGATACAGCACCAGGAATTTCAAATATTGGCTATATTCTATTTAAGAAATTACTACACAGAGTGATTTAGAAAATATTAGTGTTAATAAATACAATTCTCGAACAAAGCAAAATTCCAGACAAGTGAAAACTCAGTCAGATATATTTAATCCCAAAAAATAGCTCCTGGAAGTATAATTTAAGCAATATGAGATTTATAGTATTATTTGAAACTTGTAAAAAAGTCTTAACACGAATGCTTTAAATAAGGCTAAATAAAGTACTAAGCAAAAATAGTATATTAAAAAGAGCAAACTTTGCAAGCTTGTCAAGAAAAGTACATTGACTCCTATCTACATAATAAACAATATAATAGAAGAAGCAGTAAAAAGAAAAAAAGAGCTCTGGATTACATTTCAAGATATGAAAAAAGCCTTCAACTCAGTCAGTATAGTCTCACTTAAAAAAGCTCTAGAAAAAATTAAACTCCTAGCAAAAATAATTAAAATAATAATGGAGTTATATGAGAATAAACAGCTTAGCGTTATAACAGAGTTTGGAAGTACAGATTTTATAAAAGCAGGAGATGATATAGACCAAGGAAAGGTATTGTCTCCATTAGTCTGGAGGATTTTTTATAATCTTTTGCTCTGTAGGGTACAAAAAGCCAAACTAGAGTACAAAATGCATAATCTAGAAACACGTATGAACTCAAAGAACAATGAAGCAAATATTAGAGTAAAAGTGTTAGCATATACGGATAACGCAACATGGTTAACAAATAGTTAAAAAAGCATGCAAAGTACAATTAATATTGCACAAGAGTTTTATAAGTTAAATAATATTAAAATAAATTTGAACAAGACTAAACTCATAGTATTAAAACTGAATAAAAAGAAGTATACAGAAGAGTCTGCAATCTGAATAGGTAATCCGAGAATCAGAATTATAGCAAAAGATCCTAAAGAAACTACAAGATTCTTAGAGGTTTGGGTTTCAATCAAGAATCAAAAAAAGTCTAATATATTTAAAGCAAAAAGTATAATAGGCAAGATCACAGACCTACTCAAGCACAAACAGATGTCTTTGAGTCAGATTATATACATAAACAATACAATTCTTATACCTACTTTAGAGTATAGACTAATAATCTCATATTTAACTAAAGCACAGTGTGAGAAAATACACCAACCAATGATTCATCTAATAAAATGAAAAATGTCAATGCCTTTCACAACAGTGAAATATAATAACAAAATATCTAGAGATAATGAACCTCAAAAGTCTTTGGAATAGGCACAAAGAGCATTATATATCAGAGCTACTTATTAGATTAAATACACTAGGTTTATTAAAAGAAATATTAGCAAAAAGGCTTAAGCAAGGCCAGCTAAGAGCAGGATCGTTAAACTATATTTTAACAAATCAGAATATACTAGCAAAAGAAAAAACAAAAGGTCGCAACTTAGATATAAATATCTTGTAACAAGCACACATGCTGAGCTTTGTAATAGAAGAAAATAAAATTACAAGAGTTGGAATATAGATATTACACAAACAATGAGATTGCATGTATCTTTGAGCATTTAAATATGGCTTATGAGGAAATGAAAGTGAGCAGCCTAGATCTAATTTTGGTTTTATAACTTATTGCAAAGGATAGCAAAACAATGCATACATGGAATCAAGTCAAATTAGCAGGTGACAAGAGTTTAAAAGAAAAAAAAGCAGGCTGGTTTGCTAGTTTAGAAGAAGAAATGTTAAAAAATCCTCTTATATGAGTAGTCAAAAGTAGATATAACTGCAAAGCAAATAATGTTAATGCACCTAGTTTGGAGACAAAAGAACCAAGTGTTGACAAAAAAATAAAAGAATGTGTTTGCTAGAGAGATGAAGCAAATGCAATGCTCAATGTAAAAAAAAAAGTCAAAGAAAAAGAAAATGCCTATATAGAAGTTGAAAAATACAAAGAAACAACATATTGTCATGAAGATGAAATGTAGCAGTTATTAGTAATTGATGAAAAAAGTGAAACTTACATGGTTAAATGTAGAAAACTGAGAGACATTCTAAATATAGTTCAAAAAACAGAAAAGGTGATAAGTTAATTTTTGAAAAAAGACACATAGAAGAAGTAGTTGGTAAAAAGAAAGAAAAAGTGCTTGTTAAAGCAAAAGAAATGAAAATAATAAAAGAGAAGGATAAAATAAATATAGAGTGCAAATATTGGGAAATGGTTTTAGTTAATAGAATAGTTCAAGATGATGTAATTAGATCTAGAATAGCAAAAAGTTTAGAACAAAATAGAGAATTAGATAGTTTATTTTTTCATACAGATGGCTCACTCGATATTGCTGAGGAGAAAGAAAAATTAGTAATGGGATATGGAGTAATTCAAATCACAGAAACAGGTTAGCTTTTGTTTTGTATAACAAAGGAGTGGTTCTTATCGACAAGAGCAGAAATGGTAGCAATATTATTTGCATTACTAACTACACCTTGAAAAAGAAGAGTAGAGATAAGAACAGATAGTAAAGTAGCAATATTAGCAATCAAAAGGGGCCTAGAAACAGACAAAATAAGACCTTGGTTGAAGACTAAAAACTGTGGTTTGGTAACAACAATTGTAAAAGTAATCAAGATAAAGAAGCTAAATACACATTTTATAAAGATCAAGGGTTACTCAGACGATATATTTAATGATCTTGCAGATTTGAAAGCAAAAGAAAGTTTCAAGTCAACAGAGTACCTGAACTCAGAAACATTATATGAAAGGCTACAAAATAAAATATATGTGGGAAGGTAAATTAGTTGAAAAGCCTATCTGTTTCTTTGTCAAAATGTTGGAAAGAGTGCTCTTGAAAGCAGAATAGGCTTTTCTGCATAATACATATAATGAAACTTATCAAGAAAGAAGGAGTACTCAATCTTGGTTCATGCTGTACAACATAATGAGAAGTGGAACCAGACAACAAAACCATACTTTAAATCAAATGCAATACAGCTTTTTAAGATAAAGTGTATAAACAATATACTCCCAGTGTTTGAAAAACTTAATCAGAGAAGGCCAGAAACATACAAGACAAACAAATGTATTATATGTAAAAAAAAAAAAAAAAAAAAAAAAATGTAAAACATCTAGTGAGTTGTAAAATTTTTCTGGACCTTCTTTATGATTTAGAGGAGCAAGTAGTAAAAGCAACCCTGCTTGAATTAAAAAAAGTAAAAAGTATAGAAACAATCAAAGAAAAAGTCTTAACAATGCTAGGAAAGAGATCTCAAACTGAAGAATCACGTAGAAGAGAAAAATGGATTAGAGGCCTAATCACAAAAAAAAACTTCGATGAATTGAGACCTCTCTTCATTTCAAATAATCAAGTAAAGAGCTTTTTAGATAGACTTTGGAAGAATTGGATGAAAGAAGTATATAAAAGAATATGGGTTGCAAGATACAAACTAGTGCAGAAATGGGAAAAAGAAAATGAGATCGTGCTAAAAAATAAAAGAAGATTGCACAAAAAGGCAAAAAAAGAAAAAGAGAAAAAAAAACCACTAAATAAATACTCTAGGAAAAAGAGAAAGATAAAAATAAAGAAAAGAATAAAAGATGGGGTTCAATGTTAGAGATAACTAAAAAAGAGATTCTAAAGTAAATTGAAGAAGGACAACAGGCAGATTGGTGGAAAACTAACATGTAGTCTTGACAGGTGGTAAGATCCAGCTGGTGATGTATTATTGAAGCCAACTGCAGGATAAGATAATACAGAGGCAAATATTACTATAGCAGGTCGCATATACTTTACAGAAACTTGTAAAAAGTTGTATCTGTTTTTATAATAAAGAAATAATATTATAAAAACATTATAAAAATGTTTTTGAAAAAAATATTGTTATAAAAATGTTTTTATAATATTTTTTTTTTCATAATGGGCTTATAACTAGTAATTGTAATATCATGATAATGTTTTTTGCCAAAAAAAATTTTTTTTGAAAATTTTTAAAAAATTTTCGAAAAATTTTTTTTTGACAAAAAACATTATCATGACATTACAATTACTAGTTATAAGCCCATTATGAAGAGAAAAAATATTATAAAAACATTTTTATAACAACTTTTTTTTCAAAACCATTTTTATAATATTTTTAAAACATTATTTTTTTATTATAAAAACAGATACAACTTTTTACAAGTTTCTGTAAAGCTTGTATTAATACTATTACTTGGATCTAAATAATTCCAGTTTTTACTTAGAAATGTATCTAAATAAAAGTAAGCTATAGGCATTCTAAAGCCACCACAATTAGCTAAAACTGCAAATAACTCAAATTTCTTCTGATTGGCCTTAATATTGAATTAATTATAAGTTCTGTAATTTTATTTTTTTCTGTATAATTTACAAGAGGAGTAAAAAACCCAAGAGCTTTCAAAAAATCATTTTCTAAACTATTAAGAATTTTATAATACTGAAAAATTTTTTGTTCTAAAAAATTTTTAGTTGATTGTAACTGATTTTTAATATCAGTTATATAAAGACTCTTAGAAAAAAAAGATACCTAGTAAAAAATTTGATAGTAAGTATGTTTTGTTGGATCAATAATTTTAAGTTCACTTAGTTTTTTATAGAAGTCTACTTTGCTAATACTATATGTAAGATTATTTTTAATCCAATTTTTAGCTTCTAATAAAACTTTTATATTTTGATATGTAGAATATTAATGCTGAACTAAATGTTTAATAATAAGTTGAATTTTTTTTTTATTTTTCATAATAATTAATTTGATGTTGTCTTTATACAGATATCTTTCTATTGCTGGTTTAATTTTACTAACTCTTATAATCTGCTTGCTATTAGATTCCTTTTTTCTTGCAATCATTTCTTTGAGAACAATATATATAGACTGTAATATCACCAGTTTGTTGACTATTTTTTGTATGTATATATATATCTTTTAATTCCCAATAGTATTTGGTTGCATTATATAATCATATCAAAAATATGTTAATAAAAGCCTGAAGATTTATATCATTTTTATCAATAATATTGGTATTATTTGAAAATAATTAATCAATTAATTCTTTCTCTAGTTCAATTTCAATTAAAATACTAATTGAATCATTATTTTCTTTAGAAGTTTCAAATAATAATATTAAATGTTCTTCAAAGTTACTAATTTCAAAAAGAAGGCTTTTATTATCTTAATATTTGTTATTTTCAATATTAATCAAGCTTTTATCTTCACTTAAAATTATACTATTATTTTCTAATTCAGCTTCAACTTTTTGAAAAACTTTGCTATTGGATTTTAATTTTATTTAATTTTTTGATTTATATTAAAAGTGCAAGGTTGCAATTGATATATGAATTGTATTTGTTGCCACATAAATGAATAAAATCATTATTTGGTTTAATTGTTCTATAATGAGGGCATTCTTTATATGTTTCTGAATTAACTTGGTTTTGTATAGTATCTATTACAATATAAATTTAGTGAAAAGGTAAATTACAGTTGTTTTAAATTTTTTATATAATAACTAAAATAACATTTATCTAATTACTATTTAAGGTAATTGAGTTGTATATCTTTAAAATTACATCTAAAAAACAAGTTTTAGAAACAAATACAACTTTAAATATTTAAAATAGTAATTTTTATAACTGATACTAAAATTAGCTATAGTAATATATACTAAACTTTGAATTTATATTACTGTATATAAATTTAAAAAAAATTTATTATATATTTCAAATTAAATTAGAGTTTAGAATTAATATATTGAGCATTAGTTTATAGTGATGGGTTGCCATGGTGACCCTATATAAATAGCCAATCAAAATTAAGCAGTGGATATATAATAAGTTGCTTACTATTGGCCAATTAAAATTAGTTAAAAATTTTAAAAATTTTATAATAAAAAATAAGAAAAATATAAATAAAATTGTATTAATTCTAAAATATGATTGGCTGCTATATATAGGGTTGCCATAGAGACGGGTCTTCATAAAAAATTTAACTAATATATTTATTATTTTAATTAATTAAAATATTTTAAATAAAAATATCTTATTTTTTGTAAAAATCTCTAACTCTAATATTAATACTAATATAAAAATTTTATATTAAAATTTTTATAGTATATTTAAAATTTAGAAAAATTTAAAATACAATAAAGTATATAATAAATATAAAACTATTATATAAAACTATTATATAGTAGATATGTTTTTTTAATAAATTTTTTTTTTTAGCTCTTTGATAGTCTTGTCAAGGCTCAAATACAATTTTATTTATTTAATTAATAATAAAACATTATTACTAAAACTAAGCAAAAGGTTTTCAAAATTGCAAGCCCAACACTTCCAGCTACAATTTGTATGCCCAAAAGTGATCTGTTATACTAATTTACACATAAGTTGAAAGACTTTGTCAGTTTATTTAAAGCTAATTTTTTCAATTTTTTTTTTTACTAAGAGCAAAAGAAAGTAATGTTTCTGTATTCACAACACCAAAATATATATTAAGAAAAAATAAAAAATAAAACTAAAAAAAACACATATTATAAATAAGCAACACTCTTTTTGACAATTCCTTATACTAATTTTTCTTCAAGTACCAACCTACAAATATTATATCCAAAATTATGTATTATTAAATACCTTAATAATGGATATCAATGTTCTTAATTGATATTCTTCACAAGCTATCAATTAATTATCGGGACTAAACAATTTTTTTAAACATATAGCTCTCCCAACCCAGATGATAACAACGGATATAATCTAAATGACAACTTTGAATTCTTCTATGGTGTCCTATCTGCCTTATTTAAGCGTTTTTCAGATAACAGTATGCTGCCACTATCCTTTTAATAAATAAATAAATAAATATATGATGAGTTGCCGCGCATTACGTAACGCTATGCTTGCCAAAATAGGACTCATATACTCATATGGTTAGCCAACATCGCAAAATAACAAATTAAAGCATACCGAAAAATTTTTTGTAGGTATTAGTGCAAAGCCCATCCTTTTTCTATAAACATAATATGAAATTGTAAAGCTAGACTGTATTATATAGAACTGATACGTAATGTACTAGTACAATACAATACAGCACACATTTTTAACTCCCTTTAACTGTTAACAACTCAAGAACCTAGTTTGCTTATAAAATTTAAAGACGTTACTTTTAAAAAGCGTAATAAATTAACTACAATTAAAAAACTATTTAAATTATAAACTTTTATATAACAGATCATTCCAGTAATTTTATTGTATTAATTGTGTATAAAATTAATTTTTAAAACGCTAATATTATCCTTTATTTGTATTGGAGTAAAGGAAAAACAATTTGGATTGAAAATATTTTTTCTTTCACAATTAATTTCCATATGTCGACCCTAATTTACATTTCCGATTCATATAGTTTACTAAGAAAATTATTATAACCTTGGGTGCTCAATGCGTCTTCTCTTAGCTAAAATAGATTCGATTTCCTCCTCAAGGAGTCCTTCATTTCTCAAGGACTCCGCTTGACATTCTTCATCGTTTGCCGGAGCCTTATATGAATAATTTAGAAATGTTTTTTTTCCATAATTCTCTGGAACGCGATATTTGCCCTGTATGACAAGTAAAATTAATAAGAAATAGAGAAAAACAGAGAAAACACAATGAATATTATATTTATTACATACTGTGTGACGTTTTCGTTTCATGTTCCAGCGAACAGAAAAAGGGACATATACCATGATTTTTTCATTTGGATGATCATCGTCGTCATAACGCTCCATAAATAAGAGCTGAGAATTTTTTTTAATTTGATTTTTATCTGTCTCATAGTCTCTCACCCATTTATATCTATAGTTCTTTAGAATAATCAATAAATAATATAAGTATACGTAAATATATGAATATATAAATATATATATAATTTAAAAAAAAAAGATATACAAACATCATTACTATATGTTCTGATATTTGATAATTTCTCTGCCGTTTCTAAATTCGGGACGTACAACATTAAGAACTTTTCATCTCCGGACACCACTGGATTTATTAAAGATTTCTTAATCCGTTTTTGACGATTATTCTCACGTTCCCCACGTACCTAATAATAATTATTAAATATTCAAATAATTTTTTTATAATAAAATCAAGTATATCAAACATGAACTCACTTCGTCATCTTCCGAGGGAAATCCTTCCCAAGGATCCGTATCAAAGCTGGCCTGTACGACCATAACATGTTTATATTCAAATTCGGGAAATATAGAAAGAATTTCTATTGGTTCTGCTTCACTATTTTTGGGGTGTTTAAGTTTCTTAAGGAAGTTAGGATCATTTGCAAATTTAAAAGATTCCTCAATCTTGGTAATTTGTTCTTCATGACTTTGTTCTAATTTCTTCCTATTAACCTTTAATGTAGCCATACTATGAAAATGGTTAAAACGCGAAAATTTTATTAATAATCATCATAGAGAAATAAAATAAGCAAAATAAAACATAAATACACACCGGCTTTCCATGGTTTTATCCTTATTACCACCCTTATGTACGGATTCAGATGCACTTATATACTGCGTCATACGTAACCATGATTTAGGATCGTTTGAATGCCTTTTCAATCCCAATCCCGTACTCCCATTTACACGATCTTTAGGAGGAACGACTAAACAAGCATCTTTTGAATCAAGATGGCTTCTTTTTGGATTTATGACTATCAATCAAAATAAATAAAATTAATGTAAAATAATATTATAATAATCTAACATAATAAATTTTAATTAACTAACCATTTTCTTCGAGAAATGCACTAGGAAAAGAACTTAGATCTAAATCGAGGTCATCGAATAGAGGAAGATGTTTTGAACGAAAAGTAAGTAAAGTACGATCGTTATCAGTTATTCTTTCTAGATCTGGATTCCATCTTAGATCAAATGGAAGATCAACGGGTGGAGGAATTAAGTGTCGAAACCTCACTCCACATAAATAATCTGTACGGACTCTTCTTTTTTGAATATGATTTTAAGACAGCAAAAAAAAATTAACTAGATATATAAACAATACAAGCAAACTACTACGTATGTTAAAATGTAATTACTTGGGTCTTGCTGACATTTCGGTTAGCTTTTAGAAAAATTGAAATTTGGTAACGAATTTTATGACATAAACAAACCCATATTTATACTGTTATATACGTTCATGCATGACATTCACACACCATCATACATTTTCTTTTTTGGCTATCATAAGTGATTTTCAATTGCTAAAATGGGATTGGGAATAATTAATCAGATAATCGATTCTTGATTTATACTTGATTTATGAATAATAATCTTTATTGATCTTGGTTTCGCCGATTACGTATCAATAAAATTATTTTTATACTCAACTAAATCAACAAGAATAATAAATAATTAATATTTCTTATGATTACTCTCTGATATCATCATCACTTAGTTACGTCTTTATAAAAAAACCGGTTTATAAAATAAGGCGCAGTTGAGCTGTAATTAGTGACGTAAAATAAGTCTGCACTATACTGATACGTAATTAAAATTAGATACTGTAATTAAAATTTTTAAAAATTGCATTAAATATTTGCACACAGAAAAGGTGTTAACTCCACCGGAGGTGAAATTGTAAACAGGATCGGGTACTCTAAGTAAAAAATGTTCAAGACCCCTGAAAATCTCACGAGAACTAAGTTCGGGACCTAATATCTAATCTACTTTCTTAGTCCGGTGAATTTCATCTCTGGTTAAATATAAATAAAAAATTTCTAAAATTTTCAAATTCTTTTCGAATAAAAATGATACAAACTGAATATTTGCGGCCTTTTATTAAGTGAATAATATTTCATTTATATATAATGCTGCAGTAAAAATAATATTGAACTCAAACCAATTTTAATATTGTAACACTTATCATAGAAATCCATAAAAAATGCGTTGAAGAATTTTATATACAGCATGAACTTTATAATTCTGTAATACTGTAGGATATAAATTCCAGTTCAAATAATCTTGCATAATGTATAAAAAGAAAATTACGTAAGGTAAAAAGAGTATTCGCAGTTATGAACAAACTTACAAGTATGTAAAAAAAGAATGGAAAAAAAAGAATGGCCGTTAAAAATTTGCATAACTATCACAAATGTTAAATTAGTTTATATTTTTCTTTAAATTATACTTCTGCATTTTAAAATAAATATCAACTAGAAATAATAGTTCTATGTATTATATTCTCATTTGTACAATGGCATGTTGCATTTATTTATATTATTAAATATTAATATTATCGTTATCGTTAATATAGATATTAATATTGGGTTTATAGATGCAGACATTTGAAGACGTATGGTTACGTCCAATTGACGTGTCGTCACGTCAAAAGTGTCGTAATGACGT